CGTCCTGCGCCACTGCATGGGCATAGGGGCTACACCGTGCTCCTCCCTGCACCCTACCAGTGCCCTGGGTTGACCCACAGGGCCCTCTGGCCAGGAGCCAGGAGAGTCAAAGCACTTCTCAAAAGTTACATAGGAACGAAATAAAAAGCGCTGGGGGGAGAGCAGGATGTTCAGCTGCACTAGGACCCCACAGGTCTCCAGGCTTGGTGCCACACGATCCGTGGGCACTGCCCCCCGTCCCGGGGCTCCGTCGGCCTCGTTGGTCCCTCTGCCAGTGTCTGCTGCGTGCGTGTGCGTGCGTGCATGCGTGTGTGCTGGCGGCGGGCAGCTATACCCTGGTGGTGGAGTGTGAATGTGGGAGCCCCGTGCTGTTGAAGCCGGCGGTGAAAGTGTTGTAGGGGTGCAGGGTCTGCAGCCCCACCAGCGAGTTGGGGATCATGGTGATGGTGTTGGGGGTCATGAGCGGGATGTCGTCTGGAGAGCGGCGTAAGGTGAGGGTGTAGTCAGGCAGAGCAGCCAGGCGCAGGGCATCGTGGGGTGGCACAGCCTCGCACTCATGATGCCCCTGGCTCACCTGCAAGGAGGGCATCTCCTCGTCGGGTGCGTGGGCGATGTCGTTGGCGGTGCCACGCTGGGGGCTGGGCTGCCGGTGCGTGTCCTGCCGGCGCTTGTCCTTGCGGTAGTAGAGGGCAGCAAAGGCCAGCACGTTGAGAAAGAGGAGGGAGGCACCCACGGCAATGGTGACGCTCAGCTCCGTGGAGTAGTCGCGGGGGCTCTCCAGCAGGGTGCCCGCCTCCTGCTCCGGACTCCACTTCTCCTTCCCGTTCCCGCTGTTGTAGGCAGGCGAGATAGCCGGGCGCTTGGTGGTCCAGATCTTGCCATTAGGCCGGCGGGTGATGTGGGAGTTCTGCGTGGTGTCAGGCGGTGGCACTTTGGTGGTGGTGGAGGTGTAGTGAAACATATCATGCAGGTTGTACAGGTGGGGGACCAGGTGCTTCCAGAAAGCCACCTTTGGGGCCCGGTAATGGTCACGTACCCGAGGCTTCAGCCCAATGTGCAGATACAGCTGGTCACGGGGGGTGTACTTGGACCAGGCAACCTCCTCAAACCGATTGGCTTTTGTGTGGATGAACTTGGTGTCCTGGGGGACGGGCTTGTTGGGGTCCCTGGAAAAACACAGGCAAAACAGAGCTAGCACGAGGAAAAGCGGGAGAGCTGAGGAGGGAGAGCTGGATGCAAGGATGGAAGCTGAAGGGTATTTGCCAGTGGTGGCACAGGGCGGGCTGCCAATAGGTCCTGCATGGCTGGGCAGCACTCCAACCCTGGGTCAAATATCACCTACAATAACCATGGCAAACCAACCTCCCCATCCCTGTGCTTGGCTGTCTCTTGTCACAAGGGCTAGTCACACTCTCAGCTTCTCACTGTGAGACACATGCCCTGACCCCAGTGAAGGTGCTGTACATGGACCTCTGGGCATGGGGGCTCAGTGTCCCATACTAGACATGACACTCCCCCACCACAGCACAGCCCCAAGGGGTGCAGCTCCAGGGAGTGCAGCTTTCCCAGGCACAGCACTCATCCCCACTCACCCTGTCTTGGCAAAGTTGGTCCAGTAGGTCATCACCACGGCGCTCAGCATGATGTCATTCTTGGAGAAGTTGCAGGGAAAGAAAGTCTGTGGGACCAATCATGGGGATCCCAAATACATAAGGCACCTCGTCCCCATGGGCTGCGTCAGACCACGCAGGCTTCATCAGGCTCTGGCAGTGGTGGTAGAAGGCGTAGAAGTAGGTGGGGGAGCCATAGCGGGCATGCAGGTCAGCTGTCACTACCGATGGCTCTACCCACTGGTGGTCAGTGAAGAGAGCCACCAGAGTCTTGCGACGTGTCTCGGGGTTGTCTCTGTCAGCCCAATCTGTGTACATGAACTTGATGGTTTCCCGTAACGTGTCTTTGCCCTCAGGGTAGCCATACAGGTTGTCTACAAAGTTGGAGACTGAATAGTCAAAGTCACTGCCTGAGACCCCATCCTCAGGGTCCACTACACCCTCCACGAACTTCAGCCCCTCACCCTGGTTGACCCCCAGCATGATATCATAGTTGAGGAACTCGCCCTGCTCCATCAGGATCTCCGGGTCATCCGGGATCACATCCCCGTCAATGACTGGCCCAAAGGCCACGTGGTAGCGAGCCGGCTGGATGTCCTGCTCCACCAGCTCCTTGGCACTCTTCTGCCGCAGGCAGTCCACCATGTCCACTGTGTCCAGCACGTTGCAGCCCACCTTGTCAGCCAGCATGCTGGTATACTTCACGGGCTGGTAGTTCACTGCCCAGCTGGAGAGCGCAGAGCCGCTCTGGATGATGGCTCTCTGGAATAGACCTGCAAGACAGGCAAGGGACAGAGGAACCTCGCCGTCCCAACATCCCAGTGCTGCAGTGCAGGATGCAGCATGGAGAAGACATTGAGGCCCTTGGACCTCTGCAAGGATGCAGCACTCCAGCCTGCACCTGGCCTTGACCTGGGCTGTGATGCCCACCAAGCTGCAGGGCTCAGCTCAGGGTGACCGCAAGGGTGGCAGGGTGACAGCTGAGCTTGCCGTGGGTGCTCCTGGCAGCAACCAATGGCTGGTGTCCTCCCTGAGGATCCCACTGCCTGGGATAGCACAGCGTCCCTCTGTCTCTGTGTGGGGAGGAGAGGGGCCATGGCTGCACCACAGCCTGGCCTTGCAAAGCAGCCTGCACTGTCCCAGCCACCCCAAGGACATGTTGCCTGAGCCCCGGAGGGGTGCATGCTGCCCCTGGCTCAGCACCGTCCTCCAGCTCAGGGTGGCACCTGTTTTACTGAGCAGCTAGACTGCAGGACGACAGCAGGAGGAGGGTTAACTCGTGCTCGGGGACACTTAACCCTGCATGTCCCACCCCAGCCCTTTGTCAGAGTCCCCCTGGCCCCCCCTCGCTGCCACTTCCTGCCCAGCTGGAGCTGCTCGGTGCCAATTCAGCCCCGGGAGCATGCTGCCAGCGGCACAAAGAGGGCCTTTCTGCCACAGGGAACACAGAGGGTGTGGACTTCACCCTGGAAAACGGGGCCACAAAGGCCTTGGCCCAGGCGGAGGAATGCATGGCTGCACTCCAGCCCCATGTCAATGGCGCTTGTGCTTAGAATACAAAGGGCAAGCAAGGAAGCAGAGCCTCCGGGGTGGTGAAAGGCAGCCACACTCGGGGAGCAGCCTGGGCTACCTGCTCTCTAGCCAACCCTCTGCTGCAGCCTAAGTGCTGCCTGCACCCTCACCAGACCCCAGTGCTCACTCATCACAAGAGACGTCAGGCAGTCCCCGAATGGTGCTGGCATGGTGGTGTGGAGGCCAAGGGGCTGTTCCCCAGCCCCCTGAAATATGGAGCACCTACACAGGACTCCCTGTGCAGCCAAGGCCATGCCGCTCTGCAGGGGAGCATGCACCTTCCCACAGTAGAAGTGTGGAGGCTCCCAGCTACCAGCCATAGCTCTTGTCTGAACGACCAGTCCTCACTCTGTCTGACGTACACCACTAGGACAAAGAAAAATCACAAGCTCTGTTTGTCACCTCCCAGTGCCCTAGAAAGCTGTATTCAGCCTACGGGCTGGAGATTCGCCATGGGTTTGCTTGTTCTGTGTTATTACCCATATGTCAAAAAGCCAGGATGGGGGTTCCCCAGCTCCCAGGAGATGCTGTCCCAGAAACAGCTATTGCTTCCTGCCAGCAGCATCACTTCCCAGACAGACCCACTGGGCTGGGCTCTGTCCCTGCCCACCCCTGCCTGGGGAAATACGGGCAGCTGGTGTCACCCACAGCTGACCGTACCCCTAATGGAGTCCCTTGCTGTGTCTCTGCATGGCTACATCCTGGCCCAAGAGGACCAACGAGTCCATAAGACTGCAGACCTGCTGTGTCCCCTCCCTCCACACCAGCACCCAGCTGAAGCCAAGCAAGCATCCCAAGAGGGGCAGTGCTATCCTACAGCCCTGGAGCCCTCCAGGCTGCTTGGGCCCAAGCACAAAGACATAGTTCTGCCTTCCCTGCCTGTTTCCCTCTGAGGTGAGGGCACCAGTGCACCCTATGTCCTGCAGAATTGCCTGTCACAGCACACTGGAACCAAGTGGTGGGACCAGGATGCTGCTGGAAGGTGCCTGGTGCTGCAGGCTGCCACCAGCTCCTGATTGCCCTTTCACTTTTCACTGCAGATGAGACTGCAGCCACCTGTGGGGTTATCCAGGCCAAGCCCTGCTCAAAGCAGAGTGCTGGGTGCATTGTCCAGCTGAGGTCTGGGCAACCCCAGAAGTGGCAGTGAAGGGCAGCAGCCCCCATGGAGCAGGAGAGGGGCAAAGGAAGCACAAGAGATTTGCTCGGCAATGACTGCTCCTGCCCCAGCACAGCTGGCTGGGGAGAGAAGCAGCTCTTTGGTCCCTGGTGAGAAATCCACCTGCCTACAAGGATTGAGGCTGGCCGGGCAGCCACAGGGCTGCATCTCACTGTGCCTTTCAGAGCAGGCACAAATTAGCAGCTTCATTAACAGCTCTTTATCACTATGCGTTTTATTTTTGATGCAGTAAAACCAAAGCTGCCTGGTCTGCAGGCTGCATCTTAGCACAGCTCCCTTGCTGTGCTCCAGAGCCAGCTTCCCCCTCCCTGGGGAGATGGCTGCTCTGGTGCAGGTTTTTTTTTTTTTGAGGTCATTTTATGGCCATTTGCTTTGAAGTGACACTTGCTGCAACACTGAGTGCTCCCCTGCCACCCCATGGCATTTGCAGCTGGCAGCAGCTTCCCTAACACAGCAGTGAGGGTGCAGGGCACCCAGCACCACTGCAGTGCAGGGGGGACCACGCCACAGGCACTGGGGCTTGGATGGAGCAGCAAAGGACAGGGCACACAGGTGTGCTGGCAGAAAGTCTGGTGTCAACTGAAAAACTGGCACACCAGTGATTTTTGTGTCTGCAAAGTCAGGGAGCAGCCCCTGCAACCCATCCCTAGCCTCTCTCCATGCTATTCCCTCCATCCCAGCCCCATTCTAGTGGTTGGGGCCACCTGGGTCTGCAAGCACATGGTCCTCCTTCCAAAGTGTCAACATCTGGCTGCAAAAATCAGTCTGCAGCCTTGAGGCTATTTTGCCAGAAGCACCCAGTCCCAGAAAGGTGATTCCTGGAGCAAGAGCATCCCCCATAATCCCAAGTCTGCCTTCCAGGCACTCCTGTGATGAAGAGGAGCACTGTGACTGCATTACATCCAGCACCCCCTCCCCAGCCTTTCACACTCAGTATGCACAGAGGACATCCTTCTTCTTTCTGCAGGAACTTACAGCCTATAAAACACTCCCCCACCCCTGGGCCTACACTGGCCAGGGGGTGTGTGCAAGGGCAGGAGGGCATCCAGAACCCCAGGCATCCACACAGTGATGGTATGGCCCCCACATGGGCCTTCGTAGTCACAGAGCATTCCCTGCCATGTTCACTGCTCAGAAGTGAGTCTGCAAAGATCTACCCATGCTTCTGTTCTACACCCTACCCAGTCTAGCACAAGAGAAGCATCCTCTGGCTTTAGCAATCAAAACCATCTCCTCCTGTGGGCTAGAGAGCTGCTGTCTCCTCCATACAGCTCTGGGTAGCTAAGAATCCTAATCCAGGAGCTCTAAAAGTGGTGAGGGCAGTCCTGGTCCTGCCCCCTCTGGCACTGCAACATTGGCAGTGGCTCTGTACGTATAACTCACATTTGCTATGCCCTTGTAGTCTTCCATGCTTATTGTAGTCTAGTGTGCATTAACATTTATCTGAGTCACCTGTAGAAGATGGGCTTTCAATATTGGGAAAATCAGTCCATCAACAGCTCCCAAGGATGGAGGAAGGCTTCCCAACTTTGCCAGCAGCCTGGTGTCACAGATGAATTGACTTTTGTCAGGCACTTTTCCATTTTGGCCTAATTCAAGTGTTGCAATATTCTGGCTTGCACATGCCCAGAACTTACTGGAACTTTTAATCAAGTCAATTATCTCAGACCCTGTAGAGATCTAAAATGAGACCCTTTGAGCTCTCCAGGATTGCTGTGGGCTGCATCCAGTGTCGCCCGAGTTGCGACACTTCTCAGGACTGCCTGCTGATGAAGCTGACACAAGGCTTGGGTGAGACCACCTCCTTGAGACTCAATTCCCACTCGTTGAGAAATGCCAAAGTATTGTGAGCAGTTACTCTAAACTTGAAGAGGGAAATTTTGTCTGTAGGCTAGTCTCTTTTATCCACCTCTCTACCTATCTAAGTGATTGATTTTATGCATTTGCTTTTATGAGTGTGGGCATCTACACAGTTCACTGGCCAAGTATTTCTGTGTCCATATGCTTGTGTTTATGCACATACACATGCTTTGGTTGGAGATACCTTGTAGTAAGTTAGTGTGAATCTTGTCATCCTCAAACCTGTAATTAATTGTTTTACTAAACCACTCGTTATATTAAGTGCTGGTAAAATCAGCCTTTGATTTATCTCATTTTATTAATAAATCTTGAATTGCAGATAAATCAAACTCTCAAAACATGGATTCATCTGCAAAACCTGGCCAGCACCAACCTACTCCCATGTCCTCTGCCATGTCACCAGCCCTGCTGAGGTTTTGAAGGTCTCTTTCATTCCTGTGTGGTTCCCAGGCTGTTGAACAGGGCTGCAGCTCTTTGCAATAGCTTCAAGTTCAATTCTGTGTGTCTCTGAGGTGCACACTCACACCTATGTCCACTGTCTGTACGTGTCCCCTTCTCCCCTGCATCATGCTTGAGGATACAGCACAGGAAGAGGGATGCAGCTTCATGTAAAGACCCTGTGATGAAGTTCCTGGCAGGCTGGTCCCCTGTGGACCACATCCAGTTCAGGCTTTGCTCCTGCAATTTCTCTCAGGAAGTTTATCAAGAACACCTCTACTCCTATAGTTAATTTTTTTCCCCAATGCTCAATGTAAATGTCTTTGCAGGTGGTTTCCATGCATTTGCTCTTACGCCAACACAATCTTTTAACGTGACCAGTTCCTTGCTTTATCTAGAGTAAACACTTTACTATATTTGCAAATATCAATCATATCACTTCCAGCTGTGTTCTGCCATTGCAGCACTTCCAGCTCTCCCCGTCTCACAAAATGAGGCCCTCCGTCCCTCCCCAGGCTCAGGTCTGGCTTCCCTTCTGTTCCAGTATGAATGCCTTTCCTAGCACTACGATCTGTGCTCCCAGTGCCCTCCATGATGCCCTACACCACCTCCACACCTGCACAAGAGTCCGGGCACTGCAGGAGGAGCCCCACCTCTCCCCATGCCCAGGTGCTGCCCCCAGGCTGCAGCCCTGCACGCTGGGAGCACCAGCTCCACCCCTGGGTCCCAGGTACTCTGCCGCTGGCCTCTCCCTGCCCACACTGAGAAGGTTTCGCTTCCCAGCCCTGGAAGTTATTCTCAGCAGTGGTAAAAAGCAGCCCTGACTTTGCTGGGGTGGCTGGCAGTGCCCAGCTGGGCTCCCTTCCTTGGTCTAGCATCAGCGGGGCGCTGGCAGCACCCTCGGGGAGAGCGGGCACCTACCTTCAGAGTGGTGGGAGAGGGTGAGCAGGCTGACGCAGGAGGCGCCGATGCCGGAGCCGAAGACGGTGATCCGCAAGGGATCTCCCCCAAAGAAGGCGATGTTCTCGCTGACCCAGCGCAGGGCCTGTATCTGGTCCAGCAGCCCGTAATTGCCCTTGGCAGCCTGATCCCCTGTGCTCAGGAACCCTGTGGGCCAAGGGAAGCCCAGTTAGGGGTGAGGAAGCAGTCCTGACCTCCCACCTCTCCCTCCTAGGCCTAGGGGAGCTTCTGTTGGACCCTGTCCCACTACAACAGGAGACTCTGCTACCAAGAGCATCCTTTGAACGCTAAGCTGGAGCAGGGGCACCACCAGACTCTAGCTACCCTCTGCATGGAACAGAGGAGTGAAAGGCTGTGAGTGCAGCTGCAAGCCCTAGGGAGCCTATCCAACCAACTGCAAGCAGCGACAGGGTGATGGGCATAAAGCCCTACCACTCTCTGTGCTAATAACAAGTCAAGATGTCTCACACATTCTCCAAAGAAAGCCAAGAAAACACCAGTGGCTGCAGGCAGGCTGAGCACATCCACAGCCAAAGTTTTCCAGACTACTGTGACCTGGATCAGGCTCTGTAAATGTAAGGATGTGGGCTGGGCAAAGAGGAACCAACTACAGCTTAAAATACAAAGGCCCTCTGTGAGGAGGATGCTGAGAAATTATTTCAATAGTAAAGGGAACACCCAAGATAAGTTATCAGTCTTTCACTTGCTTTGACCTAAAGCAGGAACTTCCATGGGTTTGGAATGATGGTCCTGAGGTAAGATCCAGGTGGGTAACCCCAGCAGGCAGGGAGCTACTCTGGTGCTGGAGGTGCTCTGGCCAAGCATGCTGCACCCTTTCAATGGAGATGATGATGGCACTACTGAAGCCTTATTTCATATTGTGACTTAGGTCTCTTAAATTTCTACCTATACATCTTAAAGGCCTGATTTTTAATATTGAAAGGCCTTGAATAGGCACGATTTTACTGAAAAGCCTATTTTTTACCAGGTAACTGCCACCTTTCTCAAGAGACTATGGCATCTGGAGGCCATCAGAGGGATGTGCTGCCCCAGGTATTGGCCAGGAGCCCAGCTGCCCAAGGGAGAGTGCTGTGCCAGAATGGATGGCTAGGTAGAGGGTTGGCTCTGCAGACAGCTTGGCTGGGAAGGAGTTCTCCTCAAACATTTGCATCCTTTGTTTTCCCTGCTGCTAAGGCAGCGGTGATGCTTCAGGCAAACCTCCTTCATCCCAGTCCCCAGGGGTTTCTGCTGCAGCCACAGGGGACCACATTGCCTTTTGACCCCGTGTCTCTGTTTTGCCTCTCTAGGTCACCAGTGCTCATGAAAATGGGACTGCCACCCTCCTCTATAGAGCACCTGATGCCCTTTGGTGATCACCTCTGCAGACAGCCATGCCACAGTGGGTGGCTGTGGGGGCCCCAGTAGCTCAACCAGCTTGGAAGCAGTCCACGCCCAGGGCGGGAGAGCTAAAAAAGGTCCCGAGGGCCACCCAGGCAGTACCCACTGGCAGCTCACCACTCCGAGCCCTCTCAGGAAGAGATGTTGGGTATGTACATTTATTATTTATTTAGCTGCAGACCAATATTTGCTTTCAGTTGAGCCAGGTTGTGTAAATGTGCCTGGGGAAGGGTCAGTGCCAGGAGCCAGGCTGTGACGGCCCACTGGGGGAACTGCCACGTGGCACTCTGCTCGGC